GTCCCATCAGCTCTTGGACCCTGGCAAGACAAGATGTCTGAGCCTATGCAAGACAAGTCAGATCCTGGACAGGAGCGAAGTTGACTTGGTCAATGCCATTCTGTGGAGCTCTGCTGGTACACGCAGTCACCGACCCTAAGGACAGCCCTCTGCTTGAAGCTCAAGCCAAGGGCTGTGGAGACTTTCTTCTTCACCCCTCCGAAAGTGCTGACAGTTATCTGCTCATAACCTTCAGGGTCCTGTGACATTCTGGACCCTGAAGCAATTTGCAGGATAGCAAAAATGGAAACTGTGACCCTCACTTACACAGTGGCATGATTTATATACTCATAGTCAATAGATGGTGCTGATCATTCAGATATCCATAATGGAAAACATGACTTTTGATTCCTACCTCACACCATACAGAAAAGTTAATCCTAGAGGGATCATAAACTTAATTTCAAAAAGTAAAACACTAAAGCTTTTAGATGAAAATACAAGGTTTTCACAGCCTTGCAGCTTTGAGTAGACAAAAAGTTTAAAAATAGACACACAACATATTAACCACAGAGAGAGATTGATAAAGATCATTAAAATCAAGAACTTCTGTTCCACAAAAGATACCATTAAGAGATTTAACAGGCAAGCCATAGACTTAGAGGAAATTTGCCATATGTATATATGCTTTGTATTTTTTCTCTAGTAAAAGACCATATCCATAATACATAAAGAGCCCCTATAAATAAATAAGGAAAATACAACTCAAAAATGAAACAACGGGGGCTCCCTGGGTGGCTCAGCGGTTTGGTGCCTGCCTTTGGCCCGGGGCATGATCCTGGAGTCCTGGATCGAGTCCCACATCGGGCTCCTTGCATGGAGCCTGCGTCTCCCTCTACCTGTGATTCTGCACCCCCTCTCTCTGTGTCTCTCATGAATAAATAAATAAAATTTAAAAAAAAAGAATGAAACAACGGGAGTGCCTGGGTGGCTCAGCTGGTTGAGCATCTGCCTTCAGCTCAGGTCATGATCCTGGAGTCCTGGGATGGAGCCCCGCATTGGGCTCCCTGCTCATTGGGGAGTCTGCTTCTCCCTCTGCCTCTTACCCTGCTCGTGCTCACTCTCTCCTTCTCTCAAATAAATAAAATCTTTAAAAAAAAAGGAATGAAACGACTTAAACACTTCCAAAAGAAGATCAACCAATAAGGAAATGAAATCGTATCAAAATTTTTGGTCATCAGGGAAATGCAAATTAAAACCACAGTGAGGGGGTACCTGGGTGGTGCAGTCAGTTAAGCATCTGACTCTTAGTTTTGGTTCAGGTTGTGATCTCAGGGTCCTGGGATCAAGCCCTGCATCCATCTCTCTGCTCAGTACCAAGTATGCTTAAGACTCTCCCTTTCCCACTCCCTCTCCCTCTGTCACCCCCAAAACCACTTGCATGTGCCCACGTGCTTTCTCTCTAATAAATAAAATCTTAAAAAAAAAGCCAACACATGCTGAGACGTCACTGCACACCTGTTAAGGTGGCTAAAAGTCAAAAGACTGATGACACCACCAGCTAGGATAAAGAGCAACAAAAATACTCACATATTGCTAGTGTGAGTACAAATCAGTACAAGCACTGTTAGAAAATGCTTGGCATTATCTGCTAAAGGTAAACATATGCCTACATGATGACAATGGCAATTTTATTACTAGATTATATACCCACAGAAAAGAGTATAAAGGCAAGAGCAAGAATGTTCACAACAGCTTTCGTCATAATACCCAAAACCTGGAAACAACCCAAATGTCTGTTGGCAGGAGAATGGATAGATGCATCAGGATATACTCTTACAATGGAATATTATAGAACAATGGAAAATGCACAGGTGACTCTCTCAGACATAATGCTCAGTGAAAGAGGCAAGAGTACATATTGTATGATTCCATGTACATGAAGAGGGAAAATGAATCTATGGTGCTAGAAGTCAGAATGGAGACTTCCTATGGAGGGGAACAACGGGAGAAGGCATAAGAGAGCCTTGTGGTGGGCTGGAAAGGGTCTATATTTTAATCTGGATGGTGGTTACAGAGTGTAATCGTATATAAGTACTCACTGAGATATGTACTGAGGATCACTTTACATCATTTCTCAAAAACCTTCTAAAGGGGGGAAATTATAGTCTTTTTAACAAATGGTGCTGGTACAATTGGATATCCCTATGCAGAGGAATCAAGCAGGACTTCATCCTTATACCATATAAAAAATCAACTCAAAATGGATCATAGATCTAAATATAAGAGCTAAAATTATAAAAGTTTTATAAGAACACATAAGAGTAGATCTTTGCGACTTTAAATTAGGAAATGGGTATAGATATGACACCAAAAGCACAAATGATACAAGAAAAAAACCCCAGATATATTGGACTATATCAAAACTGAAAACATTAATGCTGTAAACGATACCACCAATAAAGTGAAAAGACAACTTACAGGATGGGAGAAAATAATTCCTAATTATGTATCTAAAAAGGGTAGAGAACCCAGAATATATAAAGAACTATTATGACTCAATAATAAAAGGACAAAAAAAATCCAATTTAAAAATGGGTCAAGGTTCTGAATAGATATTTCTCCAAAGCTGATACACAAATGGCCAAAAGGCACATAGAAAGATAATACTCGGGGCAGCCCCAGTGGCGAAGCGGTTTGGCCCCGCCTGAAGCCCGGAGTGTGATCCTGGAGATCCAGGATCCTGCATGGAGCCTGCTTCTTCCTCTGCCTCTCTCTCGCTCTCTCTGAATGAATGAATGAATGAATGAATAAATAAATCTATCTTAAAAAAAAAGAAAGATAATACTCGAAATCATTAGTCATTAAAGAAATGCAAATCAAAACCATAATGAGATACTAGTTCTCACCCCCCCTAGGATAGCTATTATAACAATTTTTTTTAAAAAACCATAAGATCTGTTGGTAAGAATGTAGAATACACTGCTGGTGGGAATATAAAATAGGGCAACTGCTTTGGAAAACAGTTTGGCAGTTCTTCAAAAGGTTAAATATAGAGTTACCATGTGACCCAGAAATTCTAGTGTTAGGTATGCATCCAAGACAATTAAAAGCATATATCAACACAAAAACTTGTACATGAATGTTCACTGCAATATTATTTGTAATGGCCAAAAATGGGGAAAAAACCCAAATGTTTATCAACCGATGAAAGACAAACAGAATGTGATATGTTCGTACAAGGGATCTACAGTGAACTATTTGTCATTGAGGTACAGACCAGCCTACAACAGGGATGAATCCTGAAAACAATATGTTAGTTGGAAGAAGCCAGTCACAAAAGATTACATATTACATGATTCCATTTATGTGAGATGTCCCGAACTGCAAATCTATTGACAAACATTAGTGGTTGCAGGGAATAAGGAGTGAGGCTGGGGGAGGAGAGGCAGATGGGAAGTCACTGCTAATGGCAAGGGATTTCTTTTATGGTGGATGGAATGTTTTCAAATTCAATTGTAGTCATAGCTGTACAACCTTGCAAATATATGAAAAAAAGCTGAATTATACACTTTAGTTAGGTGAATTGTAGGGTATTAGTTATAGCTCGAAAAAGCTGTTAAGAAAAGGGTGTGTGTGTGTGTGTGTCTCCTCATCTATTTCATGGCCTTGGCCCCATCCTGAGTTACAGGATCTGGAAGCTACAGGCCAGATGAGAGACACGCATGAATGGAGCCAAAAAAGCAAGACTATAACCCAACATGAACCCCAGACAGAGCTGGGGTAAACTCGGGGCTTTGTGTGTCTATGTGCATACAACTCCTATCTGGGCTGTTCATGACACAAGAACAAATATGCAATGGCAAAAGAGTTTGGGTCCACAACTTTGACGATTGTTCTTAAGCTTCTGACCCATGGCTCTGCTTAGAAGATTCCCAGGGTGAGTTTCCCTTGGATTATCAACAAAGTAGACTGGCTTATTCTAGAACAGCACTGCCTGACAGAAATAGAATTCCAGTCACGTGTGTCATTTTAAATGTTCTACTAGCCACATTTTTAAAATGTAAAAAGAAACTAGTGAAATAAATTTTGATAATATATTTAAGCCAATATATCACAAATAGTCTTATTGTAGCATGTATGTAATAAAAAAATTATTGAGATATTTCACTTTCTTTATACTAAACCTTCAAAATCCAGTGTTTATTTTTATTTATTTTTTTTGAGACAGAAATATTTCTATTTTATTAAACCCCTGACATTTTAGCATGTATTTGTTATAGCAACTAGGATTACTTTAATATAAAAATCTTCACATGGCTAACTCTTGTTGCAAAAGCCTCTGCTTAAATGTCACCTCCTTACAGAAGCCTCACTCAACCCTCCAACTGTTTTAGATCTCCTGTCTCACACTCGGTATCTCTTTTTATTATTATCTCAAAACTTTTTATGACCTGGTGTGTGAGAGTGCATGTATGTGCTGGGTGGTGCTCTTCACCACCACTAGCACAAGAGCTCACCGTTGCTCGGAACTTTGCCCAGTTTGCACTATCTCAGTTTGCACTAGCCACATTTTAGGTGCTAATTCTGTAGCCACGTGCAGCTAGTGGCTGCCATATTGGACAGCGCAGTTCTAAATCTGGTTTATGTTGCAAGATGAGTATTCTCAAAACCTGGTATTTTAGAAAATATGAATAATAACAAGCACTAAGGTGGAAGGCTTAGTGAGGTGAAGCGCCTGGCCTGAGGCCTTAACACTGATAAGCGTCAGTGGTTAAGAGCAGAGTCTATCATCAGATGAGAATTATCTTCTCCACGGGATTGATGTGAGATGACAAGAGACCCTCATGGGAAGGGACTGGCACAGTGTCTGGCTCACATCCACCATGAGAGATATGAGGGGCTATTGGAGAGGAGGTAGAGATCATTCAGGGTAACTAGGGTAACTAGCTGGAGACACCGTGTACCAGCTCTGAGATATCTCCCCAAGATCTCCCCCCTGAAAAACTTGTACCACTCACTGGACTGGTGGGTGAGGACACTCCAAGGCTCCATATAGATCCGTCATTCTCCGGGGGCTCCTGCTGGCCATTCCCCTGGCGCACTGCTCTGGCCACCTCTCTCACACTTCTGAAAGACTGCTGGTCCGAAGCGCTTCCTGAAGGGACAGCTTGGGCAGGGCCCAACTGCTGCAAGCCGAGGGTGTCAGGTGCCTGCACAGGCGGCTCCTGCTTGTGGTACCCATCTTGGATCTCAGGGGATGCCTGGGCCAGAAGGGGCTCTGCGGGTACATCAAACGGGATGCTGGTTTCCAGGCTGGGGAGGGGCAGCGAGGCTTGTCCTGTGGGAATCTCCACTTCTCCGCTTAGTCCGTTGGTTGGCACAGAGTTTACCCGGGCTTTGGTGAATTCCGACAACACCCTAGAAGTTTTTAAACAAAGAAACCTGTGTGACAGGTTGTCTGTGAGAATGCCCAAGGCTACTGGGGCAGTGGTTAAGAATGGAAAACTGCTGTTATGTGATTTTAAAACCAAAATAAACAACACTCTCCTCATCATTCATTGCTCCCTTGTTTCCACACAACCCTCCTCTGACACTCCTCATGAAGCTTCTCCCCAGCTGGGACTTAGGCAGAGTGGATGGCCAAGCGACCCAAGGTCCCAGGATCTCCAGTGACAAAGCTCACAAAGCTGTGGAAAGGACTGATGTGAACAGAAACTACCCATTGCTTTTGCTTTCTGAACAGGCTACTGCGGGCCTGGAGAGCTTGCTCGGCCAAGCAAATGGCTGTGTAGGCAACCATTTCCTCATTCTATTGTGGCAGAGCCCCAGGGAATAGTGTCTGAGAGCAGGGTTCCCCAACAGCACAAACAGCTGAGCCCCAAGAACCCACTCCCCAGGACGTGGACTTAGGTGAAGTGAAAACCCACTATGTTCCTGGAACATTCAGTGGACAGCAGGGTGGGGGTGAGTGCAAGGGGTGGGGGTGAGTGCAAGGGCTGGTGTACCTCAGACCCAGACTGCATGTAGAGTCAGAGAAGCCTGCTGTTCTAGGAACTGCTACTGGAGATTGGTGTACACAAGGTACACGAGTGTGTACACAAGTATATGTGGGGTGTGAACCTGCTAACTCCTCCAATGGGACTGGCTCTTCCTGCCCCTCAGTGGTGCTTCGGGGCTATAGGGAGCCTTCTGTACACATACACACACATACTCACACGCACATGAAAACATACTTCTGGGCCTTCTAAAAGGCCCACCGGCTAGTGGCTGCTCCCCCTTCTCCTGAGGCTTCTGGGAATACGAGATCTGTTTCTGAAGTAAACCCATTTGCTGTTTCCTCCTCTGCTTATGAACCCAGTCGAGTATGTCATAGGCAAATGAAGATTTAAAGCTATCTGGTACCCAAGAGATTGCACATATCTGCCCTAATGGCTTAGACTAGGTCAGAAGATGTGTCAAACTCCCTTTACTGTCACCTTATGGAAATTTTTTACCTTAATGTCTTCTGACTGAGCTCTGCTCTTATCTACAACATCACAACCCTAAACAACATTTCAAGACATGCTAGCTAGTCAAGTATTGGTGACCAACCCATGCATTTAGGGGCCACTGATTTTTCAACCCAAGACATTTCACTGGAGGAAGAATAGTCTTTTCAACAAATGGTGCTGGGATAAGTGAATAGCCTCATGCAAAAGAATGAAGTTGGATTCCTATCTCACAGCATGTAAAAAATGAACTAAAATGGTTTGAAGACCTAAGGTTAAGAGCTAAAGACATAAAACTCTTAGAAGGAAACAGGTATAGATTTGGATCAGGTGATGGTTTCTTATATGACATCTAATAGATAAGCAACCAATAAAATATAGTTAAGTTGGACTTCATCAAAACTAAAAACTTTTGTGCTTCAAAAGGATACTATCAAGAAAGTAAAAAGACAACCCAGAGAATAGGAAAAAAATTGTATATCTGATATATAAGTATTATCATATATCTGATAAAGGTCTAATATCCAGAATATACAGAGCTCTTAATAATTCAAGAGCACTAGAACAAATAATCCAATTGAAAAATGGGCAAAGGATTTACAGAGACATTTCTCTAAAAGTATACAAATGGACAGTAAGTACATGAAAAGATGCTCTATATCATTAAATAGTAGTGAAATAAAAATCAAAACCATAATAAGATACTACTTTGATGCCAATAATAATAAGATACTACTAGGATGCCAATGATTAAAAAAAAGAGAATACTAAGTGTTGGCAAAGATGTAGAGAAAGTGAAACTCTTACACACTGCTGGTGGAAATGTGAGATGATGTAGCTTTTGTGAAGAAGTTTGGTAGTTCCTCAAAAAGTTAAACAGAGTTACCATATGACTCAGCAATTCAACTCATGGGCATATAGCCATGAGAATGAAAAGACAATGTCCACAGAAAACTTGTACATGAATGTTCATAGCAATATTATTCATAATAGCCAAAAAGTGGGAATAAAATAAATGTTCACTGACAAACAGATAAACAAACTGTGGTATATCCGCACAATAGACTATTATTCAATCATGACTATAACTCAGAGGAACCTTGAAAACATACTAAGTGAAGGCAGGCAGTCACAAAAAGCCACATATTGTATGAGTCCATTTATATTCAATATCCAGAATAAGTAAATCAACAGCTAATGGGTCCGGGGTTTCCTCACAGGATGAGGAAACTTAAACCACTGAATTGGATACTTTAAAATGGCAACTTTATGCTATGTGAATCATATCTCAAACAAGTGGGTGACCTATCAGATGACAGTGTAAATGTTTTGGCAGAATAGTTATAGGGGAAGACAGGTCGGTACTGGTTCTTACTCTCAGCATCACTCTAAAAATAGACCAATGAGAATCCAAGAGCACAGCTTGCAGCAAACAGGCACGGGACACAAAGGGGTAGTTTCCACAGGCAGCGAAGGAAGGGACATTTGCTAACCAATTGCATGTGTCCAAACGATTGTGACAGAATGAGGTCACTTTCTGAACTGAACTAGGGAGCAGATTTTTGACAGATGTCCCCTGTGAGGTCCCAGGTCCTCATGAAGTGCTGAGAGGTTAGGTGGCAACTGGTTAAAAGCAGGGCCCCAGCATCCTGGCTTGGGCTGGCACCACATAGGTTCCTTAGTTCGTGGACTTTATTCCTTTACCCATAAAACAGGCATGTTAACAGCATCCACCTTTTGTGACTGTGGTAAAGGCTATGTGAGATAACAGGCAAAATGCTTAGGAGAGTGTCTAGCACAAAGTAAGTACTCAATAAACAGTAACCTCAATTTGTTTCTGTGGCTGTTCTTATCATCACTGGTAAAACTGCTTAGCTTCCATGTTCATGAATATTAAAATGTAAGGAAAGGAGAATTATGGAAATATTCACTTGCATTATGAAAATGCTTATCAATGAATCCTAATCTGTAAGACAAATTTTATTTATTTTTATTTTAAAGATTTTATTTATTTATTCGTGAGAGACACAGAGAGAGAAAGGCAGAGACACAGGCAGAGGGAGAAGAAGGCTCCATGCAGGGAGCCCGAAGTGGGACTCGATCCCAGGACCCCAGGATCATGATCCTGCCCTGGGCCACAGGCAGATGCTCAATCGCTGAGCCACCCAGCGTCCCTGTAAGACAAATTTTAATGACAGAGTAGACTGGGTGTTGGAATAAGAAATGCCAAGCTTGTGTGATAATTTAGAGCTTCTGACAAATCAACACCAAGGTCAAGTTCACAGAGCCTCACCAGAATCAGTGCCAGTTCTCAGGATCCAAAGTGAATAAGAAAGATATACATCAAGTGGCGAAAAGTGCTAGAGATGAGGGTTTTTTTTGTTTTGTTTTTTTGTGTTTTTTTTAGAGATGAAATTTTGAAGAACAGGCAAAATAAAGAAAAATTTCAAGACCTTTGAAGAAAATGCAACATTGAACTGAAACCACTCCAGTCCTTCCACTTTTGTTCTGTCAGGGCAGTGTTTTTCAAAAACTGTCTATTCAAAAATTCTAGAGTGCCTGGGAGGCTCAGTAGGTTAAACATTTGCCTTTAGGTCAGGTCATGATCTCAGGATCCGGGGACTGAGCCCCACATCAGGCTCCCCGCTCATTGGGCAGTCTGCTTCTCTCTCTCCCTCTGCCCCTCTCCTCTTTATGAGATGGTCTGGATGACCACCTCATAAAGCACCACTGCCATGCTCTTTTCCTGAGCATGTGGACTAGCGTGTTGCAGTTCATGGCACTGTCTGGTGGTCAGGGGCACTAATAAAAGCACGGAGGAGGGCTGCATATGCAAAAAATCATTTCTCCCAAGAGCAGGCCTTATAACAATGACATTTGACTAATACCACTACCCACAGTTTTGCAGCTGTGTATATAGAGATGAACAGTGGGAGAACTGATGTCACAGGATGCCAGTAGTAAAATGACAATGCTACCACCTACCGGAGCACTCATCCTATGTCTGACACTGCTCTAAGCACTTGACATACCTTAACTCAATTCTTCTTAGCATTCTTATCCCCATTTTGCAAATGAGAACATCAAGGTCAGAAAGGCTGAATGCCTTGCTCAAGTCAGGGAGCTGGTTGATGGAAGACTCCAGTAGTGTGGCTCTGACTCCACATTCCTAACCTTTGAACTGGAGTTGTGCTACTCAGTGGTGGCTGTAATTCAGACCCAACCAACACAAAAGAAGCCATTCAGGGCATCAATCCTCTATTCACAAAGCAAACTGCAATTTGATTTCCAGAAAACATTAAATTAATACATCTCATTTAGAATGTTATGTGTTTTATACTTTATGTTTAATTTGTAGAGTCGTGATTTTAATGTTATAAGAGTTATAAGCACATAGTATACATGCCTAATTTTAAGTCACAAATATAATAAAATTAAGTGAACTCTTAAATGTTGATGACAATCTTTACCCTTAAGACATACCCTCTAAGAAGAGCTGGTGTCTGGGGATACGCAAAGACCAACTTCGAGCCCAGCTCTCAGAGGGATGGTGCTGGATGAGTATTTGTTCATTTGCATGTGTTCAGTGATTGCTGCTTCCTCACACCACTGCCCAGCACTGGTCTGTACATCCTGACCCTCTTCCCTTGAGTTTTCCCATCACGCCCAGGACAACACTTCCCACCCAGGGTGGACAGTCACTGATTCAATGACCTGCAGCTGGAATTTTCCAATCACAAGACTCATGAAAGATAAAAGCCAGACACATGACAAAGACACATGGCTGGCCTATGGGAGGAGGGAGGGAGAACGAAGGGCTCCAACAGGTGAATGAACCCAAATCACGCCACCAGCCCAGTGGATAGGTAGAGATTGCTCCTTTCCAGTATGTTCTATCTAAATTCTCCCATTTAGGGGTGCCTGGGTGGCTCAGTGGTTGAGCGTCCGCCTTCAGCTTAGGGCATGATCCCAGGGTCTTGAGATTGAGTCCCACATCAGGCTCCCTGCAGGGTGCCTGCTTCTCCCTGTGTCTCTGCCTCTCTGTGTCCCCCATAAATAAATACATAAAATATTTTAAAAATAAATAAAATAAAAAAACAAATTCTCCCGTTTGATGTTCAAAAGTTCTATCTCATGTGCTCAGTGCTTGGAAGCCACTTCATGGGTCTACCAGACACTGTTATGTGCGCAGCGCACTCCCAGGCATCTGACTGGATTCTCAGACAGTATGAGGGAGTCTCCATTTTAAAGATGAAGAAACAACTTTGTAGAGTTAGCAGTTTTCCAGCTGTTATTGAACTTGTAGGTGATGGAATAAGGTTTGAAATTAGATGCATTGCAAGCCAGTCCATACCAGCACCCAATTTGGTGTTATTTCTACACCAGCTGGGAACCCTATGAAGACGTGAAGCAGGAGGGTGAGGGCACCCAGGAGTAGGTAAGAAGGTCTGAAACACAGGTGGGGGAGCATGGGTCTGGCTGAAGGAAGTACTCAATAAAATATACCATTATCTACCTATTAGATGAGCAAATATCCAAAAATTTGACAAAACCTTCTGCTGACGAAGCTGAGACAACACAGGTACATTCCTAATGGAGAGTAAATAGGCAGTATCTGTGAAAATCACAGATTAATGTATCCTTGGGCTCAGCAATTCTGTTTCTGGGAATTTACTGAACAGAGATCCTTGCATAGAATCAAAAGATCACATGAACAGAAAGATCACATGAACAGGTTATTTATAGAAATGGTGAACTCCAATGTCCATTAAATACAGGGCTGGTTAGATAAACTAACCAGTGATGGAAAAATATGCAATAAAAAAAATAAAGAAGCTCTGATATGACACTCCAAAAAAATTACTCTGATATTATCTCTTCCAAAACAAGGTGTCAAACAGTGTATTTAAGATAGCTATTGGAGAAAGGGGTCACGGATAAGAAATAAAAAACATTAAAAAAATCTGTGTATTCATATTTGTTAGATGCATTTAGAAACATCAGAAGAAAATGTAAGGAATTAATAATTATGGTGACAGAGGTGTGAAAGGCTTTTCACTGTATACATTTTAGACTTTGTCTACCCATAAAAATAGATTATCTATTTTAAAATTACTGTTTAAAAAGCCTGGATAAAGAGGGCTCTACTTGTGGTAAGCATGGCATAACATAGAGAAATGGTGAATCACTTTGTATACCTGAGACTAATACAACACTGTATATCAACTATACTCAAATAAAAAAAATTTTTTTAAAGAGAAGGCTCTGTCCAGGCTCCCCCTCTAGTCAAGTTCATTGCTCCACACACTCTTCCTCCACACATCTGCTTGGCTCCTTTTGTCTACTATCTCCTCCAGTCATCATTCAGGGTGTGTGTCCTCCCAAGGCCTTCTGGGAGGTCACAGAGGAGTACCCTTATCCATCATGCTCCATTGCATTTTTGGAATAGTATATATAACTCTGAACTGTTAGTTTCCTTCCCTCTAGGGCGATAATATTTTACACTGTGCCTCAGAGAAATGAGGTAACTTGCTCAAGTTCACCCAGGGGCAGCGCTGGATGGAGCCTGATCCAGGTCTGAGCCCCACCTAAATCCATTCTCCCCACTGCCCTATATGGCCTGCAGTTACAGGTCCCAGAGACTCTGGTCCCTGAGGGAGAGAGACGATGTCCTCTGTCTCTCTTTATGCCCTTATAGAGGTCAATGCTCAGTAACAGACAATCACATGCTCGAGGAAGGGAGAGAAAGAGGAAGAGAAGGAGGAAGGAAGGAAGAGAGTGGGGGAAGGAGTGGGGAGGGACACTCACTCTTGCAGAGACGGGTCTGAATCATCGGCATTTGTTGTCCCCAGGTCTGAGTCGTAGGACATGGGCTCCTCAGAACGGTCTGGGTCTGGGCTCTTGGAGCCATTCTCTTGGAGCAGACAGCTATCAGAATTCAGGCTGCAAGACATCTGGGACGAACTGGCCGTGTCCAGGCTGAGGGAGGAGGCAGTGAGCTTCCTATTCCGTCGGATCTTATGGCCCGAGTGCTGGACTTCGATGTCCTCTGAGCCTGAGGAATGGGAAATTGAATCCAGAGACTCTTTCCGCTGTAGTTCTGTCCCGGAGGCAGTGAGGGGGTCAAGCTCAGAGAGTGGGCACAGCCCAGAGAGAGCCAGTGGGGTAAGTGTCCACTCGTTCAAGATGGCAGACTTGTAGGAGAGCTCAAATGATAAGGATGTCAGTCCCTGCAGGAAGCTGAGGAGGAACTCCCCCTCCTCGGCATCTCGAAGCAGGGCTGTGGGTTGATAGTACTCGCACAGGCGGGCTGGCTCCTGGAGGAGCAGCTTCAGGTAGCACTCCATCAGGCCATCGTTGAGGGCCAGTCTCAGCCAGGCCCGGCAGCGGCCCACGTCTGTGCTCACGAAGATCAGGTGCTCCAATTCTGAGATGATGTGTCTGGGGATGGGGAGGGCAGACTTGTTTTAAGAAATGATTTCCAATCACTGAGGTCTTGTTTTATCCACTGGATAACAAGAGCCGATAATAATGACTGTAAATATATAGAGGCTGGAAAAAAATCTTGGATAATAGTGCTCTACAGGGAATTTAGAAATAATAAGCCATAACCCCCAACTTTTTGAGGTCTCTGTCAGGAAGGATAATTGCCATTTTCATTACAACTACCTGGGGGCCCCTGACGTCATGCGCTCTTCCAGCAGATGTCTGATGAGCCCTTAAGTACAAGATCTTTGGAGCTGTGAAGATACAGGGTAAAGACATGGTCCTGCCCTCAATCCAGGTAACTACTTCTCACGGGCACACTGAGGTGAACCCTGTTGTCAGGAGGGCTGGGGTGGGAGCCAGCAATTATTTCCAGGTCTTGGTAAGAGAAAGGGCATAGAAAAGGCAGGATCTGAGCTGGCCAAGGGGATTTCACGAGGTGAAAATGGCAGTGTAACCTTCTAGGCCCAAAGGACTGACAGGAAAAAGGTACCAAGGGCAGGGGAGTGACAGCTCTGTAACAGGAGCAGTGAGCACTCCGATTACAACATGGGGAGGTAGGAAGGGTGGCTGGGTTGCAAAATCAGGTAATGCAGGGTCTTGAGTACCCAACTGGTGGGGCAAAGCGGAGGCAGTGGTCCCCATGCCCGGCTGTGCATCAGAATCACCTGGGAACTTGGTCAGGATACAGATTCTGTGGCCCCCAACCTAACCAATCAGACTCCAGGCTAGCATTTGAGAGCCTGAGAGTTTTTGTACAGGAAAGTGATTCAACCACAGTGGTGCACCACTCTGGATCAGATCAGGTCCTACAAGTAACAAACTGAGTTCCTGAATCCTCAGTCTGACGTAAACGCCCCTCATGCGCCTCCTGCGCATGTCTTGCCCGTGAGAGTGCAGACCAGGTTCCACAGTGCTCAGTGAATGAGCTTGGGTTAGCTGAAGCTCAGTCAATGCTGCCACACTGACTGAGCTAAGGAAAGACAGAATGAGATAAAGAGGACAATTAGGAAGCCAGTGTTACCCAGGAGTGGGGTAAGAGCCCGAGAGCGGGGAGTGGCAGTCAGCAGGAAAAGAGAGATAAGACTGACAAGGCACCTTCAGGCAGAAGGTAGCATTAAGTAGCCCCGGGAGGAACAGTGCCAGCTACTTGCTCCACAGCCCAGGCACTTAGCAGCAGGGCCACAGAGGCAAGCGTCCTAGGGTCAATATTCAGATACTCTGGATTCCACTTTTTATAAAAAATGCCATAACCTTGTCCTGAGTATAATATAGCTGTTGAAACATTCTAAGGCAGGGTCAGCAAACTTCTTTTGTAAAAGGGCCACATGGTAAAGGTTCTAGGCTTAGTGGACCACACATTCTCTGTTGCAACGACTGAAGTTTGCTACAGTGTGGTATAGAGGTGGCTCTTGCTAAAGGTGACCAGCCATGGGCTTGAAGCACCCCCTAGCCATTGCTGAGGGCTGAGGGGCTCCTGAGGCTTAGTCTAACAAAACCCCTACCTCCCCCATCTCCGTTCTAGAACACAGAGTGTCTCTGTTGCTTTCCCATGCAGCTGGACAAGGGGAGCCCCAAGTCCCACACTCTGAAGTTCCTCCCCCACCCACAGGTCCCCAGCTGATCTCACTTGTGGGTGACAGCTTTCAGGAGGGGCCAGAAGACAGGCTGAGGAAGAGGCTTCTGGTGGGCGCTTTTCTTCCTTTTCCCTCCAGTCTCAGCTCGGATGTGCTTGGCCAGCAGGCCGTGGATAAATACGGCCTCAAGGGCACTGCGCATGGTGTTGGCATCTCCATCCTCGCTAGTGACCACTGTGTCCGAGGACACTTATTGCTTCTGTAACGCCTTCACGGATCCCACTAGCTTCTTCTTGATGACCTAATCAGTGTCAGACATAACACAGGCTTTAGAAGATCCTGCCATGTAACTGCTTATTGCCAAATACACAAACACCCACAAATGTGTATGCATCTATGCAGTACATAGACATGGAGCAAAACTTGCATGGCTAATTATAGAAAACAAAGACAAGGCATGGAGAAAAAAAGGAAAAATCACATACTTAAATCATCCAGAGATAGCGTTTTTTTTTTTTGGCAAAAATATTTTATATTATTAATCTGAACTTCAAAAAAAAAAAAACAACAACAACAAAGAAAGGAACTGAACTTGAGTGAATTGATAGCCATACATCCTGTGTTTAAGTACTGGTTCCATCACCATTACAGCTATTGGAGCTCAGGCAATCCACCTAGGGCAGCGGTGAGGCTTTTTATGACTATGACTCCATCAAGAGGCACCAAGTGCTGTTTTCAAACATGAAAATAAGAGCATAGGGACGACGCCTGGGTGGCTCAGTGGTTGAGCACCTGTCTTCAGCCCAGGGCGTGATCCTGGAGTCCTGCGATGGAGTCCCACGTCGGGCTCCCTGCATGGAGCCTGGCTCTCTCTCTCTGTCTCTCATGAATAAATAAATAAAATCTTAAAAGAAAAGAAAGAAAGAAAACAAGAGCATGGTCTACACTGAGAAAGATCCAACACCTGGCATAGGCCCAGGTTAGTGTCAGCTTTGTCTGTCACCAGCTGGGTCACCTCAGACATTTCACTTAACCTCGCTGAGCTTAATGTCCTCATCCGTTAAATGGAAAAAAATACCTCCTGAACTTCAGCACTGCAGGGCATTACCCTGAGGGCAGGACTTGTCTTTTAATCATCTTTGTGTTCTCGACACTTGGCACGGTTCCTGGCACATATAAGTAGTCAGTGAATTTTTGTTGAGTAAGTAAATTATAAAATACATATACATAAAATCCTTTGGAAATTTAAAGGCAGTTCAGTCATAATCTGAGCATGTCAAAATGTCCTGAGTGTTTGGAAAAGGACTAGAAGGGAATGCAGAAAACCTGGTTGGAATTATTAGCTGATAGAGTTATGGATAAATATTTTACTGTTTTATTTTTATTTTAGCCCAAACAGTTCATGTTCTCTGAAAAGTCCAATGTTCTTTTTTTACAACAACTTGAATGAGGCATAATTTACATAGCATAAAATTCACTCATTTAGAGTACACAATTCAATGTTTTTTGGTATATTCACAGAATTGTGAAACTATAGCCACTACCTAATTTTAGAACATTTTCATTGCCTCAGAAAGAAACACTGTGCCCATCAGCAGTTAATCCCTGTACCTCTCTCCCCCCACCCCAAGCAACCACTCATCTACTTTCTATCTTTGTGGATTTGCCAATTCTGGACAGTTTGCCTAAGTGAAGTCATACAGTGTGTAGCCTCCTGGATCTGGCTTCTTTCACTTGGCATGTTTCCAAGGCCTGTCTATGCTGTGGCACTTAACAGGACTTCATTCTTCTTTACTGCCAAATAATATTCCATTGTGTGGACACCCCACATTTTATTTACCCATTCATTGATTTAATAGACATTTGGGTTGTTTCCACTTTTTGGCTCTAATGCTATGAACATTCAAACACAAGTTTTTGTGTGGACAGTTTTCAGTTCTCCTGGGTACATACCTAGGGGTGGAACTGCTGGGTTGTGTGTTGACTCCAGGTTTAACTTTTTGAGCAACTGCCATACCTTCCCATAATGGCTGTACCATTTGACATTCCTGCCAGCAGTGTGCCAAGGTTCTAATTTCTCTACAACGTCACCACTTACTATTATGTCATTTTGATTTGAGGCATCCCAGAGAGTGTGGAGATGTCTCTTGTGATTTTGAATGCCTTTGTCTAATGTCTAGTGATGTCAGGCATCTTTTCATGTACTTATGGGTCGTACCTATCTCTGCTTTGGAGAAATCCTTGCTCTTTAGGTAGTAGCCTATGTTAAATCACCACCATTTTTTTTTTGTAAATTCCCATTTTATCACCAAAAAGATGTTCTAGAAAGGGCAGGATCTCCTCAGAGCCTGCTCCTGCTATAATTTTCTCTCAGCCTGAGGCCTCACTTTCCGGACAATACTCGTTTATTTCAAAGTGAGAAAAATCAATGAAATGGCTGTCCTGGGCATTCTTCCCCACTGTTGAGCCTCCCTTGCTGCCTACCGGGATGGCAGCCCGGGGGTCCAGTCCATTCTCCACCACTGAGAGCATTTCCACTCACACAGCAGCTCCCTCCGAGAATCACATGACACCTGCAGAGACAGATGGTGGCCAGATGAGCAAGTTCCAGCTCACCACCCCGAGCCAATTCTTCCCTCTACCCGGAGCAGGCAGCAGCAGGTCAGCCCATCTTCCTCAAACTGCAGTGCAAGGGCCTTTGAATACAAAAGTAAAATCTAAGAGTGGATTTGAAGCAAGGAAATGAGGAAGGAAAACAAATCTGAGGGCTTGGTCCACTCCAAGCAATCACGTAAAGGGCTGTGGACTCCACACCAAATGGTTGCACCAAACGGTAGGCATGAAAGGCTGATTCAGACACAGAGCTAAGGGTGCAAGGGGGATACTGCAGCGGAAGGTGCTGAGAGCCCACAAGGACCAGGAAGCAGGGGCTCACAATTTATACTCGGGGCCTGGGCCCTGCAACTGCCCCCTCTGACTCCTGTCCCAGTCTAGTGTCTACCAGCTCAGACAGCGACAGGGACAACTGAAACAGCTTCTGAAGGTGGGTGGGGAGGGGGGCTCTCTTGCTACACATCTGCTTTTCCTTTAGGCACAAGGGTCTAGGCTTGAGCAGCACAGCGACATGTCTAAAGGTAAAAAATATGGGTCTGACTCTCGACTTGCCACTGACCAGCACTAGGCATGCTGGGCCACCGATAACATCAGACCTCTCAAATGCAGATATAAATGCGGAAGATGCCTAGCACAGGGCCTGAGGATACCAAGGAGAAGTGCCATCTACAACCCTAGTGTATGTGGCCATCCAAACCTACAGGCAAAAGAATGCCAGTGCCTGAAAGAGTACATGCAAATAATTGGTAGTAGATCCCTCAGGGTAAATCCCTCAGGGCTCCAGCTTCCTGGGGGGGGTGGGGTGGGGTGGTGTTTGAGGTGGGTGAGGCTTTAACCTGAGCCTGAGGAGGCTGCTGGCTGACCTGGCTCCTCCCCAGTCACTTGGGTTGACCAGGATGGGGCAGGCACCTTCCCTTCTAGATAGATCACTAATGACCCCACAGCTGAGCATGAGGGGGCACCAGAAAGATAAGTCATCACTATTTCAAAAACTCATGGCCCAAATAAGTTAATAAAACCAAGGCATGGTTAATGGATTTTGTACTCTTTACATATATCGCTTCTTGCATTCCTCCTAATCACCCTAGGAGAGCTGTTTTATTATCTTGATCTAACAGATAAGAAATAGAAGCAGACCCAGGTCAAGGAACTTCCCAAGGTGCCAGGGCTGATAAGTAGCAGGTTCCAGCACCTCCCACCAGGGCAACATCAATCCTTCTGGAAGAGATGAGTGTGAGCTGGGGTTAAGGGGTGGGTGGGACGAAGCAGAGGGGTCTGGGAGGAGGGCTTTTCAGTTGGGGGCCCAGGTGAAGGGGTGCAAGGGAATACCAAGGTCAGTTTGGTGGCAAAGATTTATAGAACAGTGGAGGAGACAGAACAGCAGAGTGGCCCTAAATGATGTTAGATGCTCTGACGCAAGCCCTGGCCTTTGGAGCTGGCCAAGGACCCAGAGCCAAACTTCCTAAGGAAGGACACACAGACAGAGGCAGGTGTGTGTGGAGGATGGCCCCCACAGAATTAGCTCTGGCCAGCACATGACAGACCATCAGCAAGCTACCCTCCTCCCCAGCCACATCCCCTGTCTGACTGCCTCTCCCTTCACCACATTCCCGGCTCCTATTCATCTGGAGTCCTCCTCTGCAGACCAGCTCCATGCTCTGGCCACCACGGCGACGGGAAAAGAGGATGGGCTGCAGTCTGAGTCCCTCCTGAAATTGTGTGTGATCCTAGAGGCAGGGTTCCTTCAATGCTACCCCATGCAGCCCCGCATCAAATCCAGGTTCTCGGGCTCCAAGACCCTGGCATCCAATCCCTTTCAGCAATTTCAGAAGGCTAGGGCCTCCCTTCAGGCCTGTCCTTCTAGACAGAGACTCAAGTTCCAAAGATGCCATTCCCTCAGCCAGCCTTATGACTTGGACCTCAACAATATGAATAGTAGGTCCATTAAGGGCTCATTAATTAATTAACCAAAAATAATAGAGTATTCATTGGAGGGATGGAGGCTTATTAGTGAGTGCATGCTCTGGCCAAGACAGGGTCTGCTAAACAAACAGAGTCAACTGATGATGAGAGGTCAGAGCAGGGCTGGATAGGAGACAACTGCAGCCTAAAACAAAGTGTCAGAAAAGTCACAAAATGACAACAGCACAGAGAAATCCAGGAGGCCAGCCACTTGACAATTCACAAAATAGGACTGAGACTTTGGGGTCAGGCCAAAGCTATGGGTGTACTTTTCTTTGCAGGTAGCCAAAGCACCCTACCTAGACCTGTCCCACAATGCTTCAGGGACGCAGGAAACTGGCTCAGAGGCAGGAATGTGACAATCTATGACATGAGATCTCTGGGCTTTGGGTCTCCTGACTGCTAGATCAGCATTCCAGCAGGCTCTTGGGTGGCCTAGACCCCCAATCTACCATCCTATGGGACTAGCACCACTTCCTATCCTCAGAATAATCTTCACTAACACCAAGAACCAAACCAAAGAGGGGGTGTCTCTTCAGGAGACCTGGGCTGAGAAGAACAAATAGAGAGCTTCAAACATACCTGGTGCCACCCTAAGTCTAACTCTGCCCCTCAGTACGGATTCACCGTGGCATAGGATCTCATTCTCTAATATTTTTTAATTCTTAAAACAATCCTGTGAGAGGAAGATGATTATCCCCCATTTCACAGAGGAGAAAACTGAGGCACAGTACAAACAGGCCTCAGGTAAGGGATAGAATTCTCTGATTTCCTCATTCCAGGTCCTGTGCCTTTTACCAGATCAAACTGTCTCAGGTCCTTGGTTCAAAGAGTTGCAGGCAAATTTATTACTCATAGACCCTTTAGAGGCACTCAGAAGCTCCATTTTATCAAAGAAAGCCTAAAACCAACAAGAAACAATCTTGCCCATCAGATCTGTAGCATAAAAAAGGGGCAGTCCCAACACACTCAGGTGCCATATCTCTAACAGGAGGTTTTATAAATGGAAACTGGCACTGGGACCCCAACTTTCCCAGAAAGGACCACGGAGCTTGCTTCCAGATTAGTGGAGCTTGCTTCCAAGAACTGCCATGTTCCCAGGCCAACCCTGTAGACACTCCCAAAGTCCCCCTGGAGCACAGGTCCTTTCCGTGGTGGCTAGGTTTCAGAGCTGTCCTTTCTTAAATGTTCCAACATGAAGTTAGGAAGGAAGTATTCTGCGTGATTTTGTTACATAGCTTATATAAACATCCAATTTCACTTCCTCCAGAGACTAAGGAAGAATGAAAAGAGGAGAAGGGCTCAGATGAGACTTACTTTAAAAGAAGAAAGGGATGACCTGGCTTCACCGCTTTCGAAACACTCCATTCATCAGTAAACAGCAACCTCCTCTTCTCGGAGACTTCCCCGCCATCCGTGACAGCCTCGTCTCTATGGCCTGAATCTGATCCTGCACCTGGCTGTGCAGAACAACAGGCTGGTGTTTAAGCCCTCCAGCTGCTTTACCAGGTGATGAGTCAGGGTTTTCAGTTGGAAATGAATGACAAAGTTATCTGATTCAGAAAGGCAGCTGATCCTTAGACATGTGAGTGCTGAGTGAGTAAACAGTACCTCCTTCTACCTGAAGAGAGCTGGGGTTCTGGACAGGAGTCCTGTGAGGGGTGGGATGGGTGTGTGTGTGTATGGGGCCAAAGGCAACTAGGCCTTTGAGGCACCTGAATATCAGCTGGAGGGCAAGAAACTTCTACCTCATGATTCCCAGTCTAAAGGCTAGTGGGTGAGGCCAGAAATGTGAAGTCTATGAACACTGGGTATCTTTCTTTCCTCCTTCCCTCCTCCTATTCAACAACACCCGTCTCTCCCATATTATTATTCTCCTCCTCCTCCTCCTTCTTCTTCTTTTTAAAAAATATCTCTTTATTTGAGAGAGAGCGAGAGCGAGCACACTCACATGAACGGGAGGAGAGGCAGAGGGAGAGGCAGAGAGAGAATCTTAAGCAGGGTCCATGGCCAGCATAGAGCCCAATGCAGAGCTCGATCTCATGACCCATGAGATCAAGATTTGAGCCAAAACCAAGAGTCAAACACTCAACTGACTGAGCCACCCAGGTGCCCCACATCTCCCCCATATTCTTGTTCCACATCCCTTAGGATTCTAGTAAGGACTAAACTCTGAATGAATGAAAGCAGAAACGTTGCCTGACTCATTCAGCATTGCATTTCTAGTGCCTAGAAGAGTGCATGGCACACAGTGGTGCTCAAAATATACTTGATAAATGAACAGATGAATAAAATAAAAAGGCTCAGGGCAGGGTATCTCCATTTCAGACACTAAGAAGTGGAGGTATACAACTTTTCAATGGTAGGGCCACCATGGAACCCCTGCCATTACACCAACCTGCCAACTGGCTGAAGACCCTTTCAGATATATCACACCTCCACGGAGGGATAGTGAAGGTAGACAGGCATTCAATTTTCAAAGAAGTGAGACTATAAATGGCAAGCAAAGACAATGGGTCCTCTTTGGGGCCCTTTACAATTACTGTCAAACAGCCAATCCCTTGGGGCCTGGTCACCAGAACTTACAGGGGATGTGTATCCAAAAAGCCCAGGAAATTATAAATTATAAATGTTAACAAATGGGCCTGGGTGCCTCAAGAATGTCTAGCTACTCTGGGGTACTTGGCTCTCTCAGTTCAAGGGCAATCAAAATGGTCAAAACTTAATGATTCAGCACCTACAAAAAGAGGAAGCAATTCCAAAGCCTACAAAGCCACCTAGCCATCAGCTTCCTCAGGATCCACTCACCTACACTCTTCACAACATGTAACATCACGTCTAGTACTGTGTTCCCTGTGTTCAGTACTGGGACTAACTTGCAATCGGCTCTGGCTGGGAGGAGCCCCGGGTGAGGGTCGTCTCTAAATGCCAGGAAAACCTTCATGGGCATGGGTCTGTGACCACAGCCAACCCCACATAGTGCAACCCCCTGAGTTTCTACAGATTACCGTCCAAAAGGAAGTGATAAGCTTCCACTGTCCCAGGCTGAATGAGTAGCCATCCCTCACCTTCCAGGTATTTGGATGATAAGGTACCATTGCAGCAGCCAACACAAGTAACATAATATGAATGCTAGAAACACAATCTTTGAGGACAGGTGCAGGAGACCAGACATTCAGGAAAACCTCTTGAACCACAGGACATAGATCTCTACTCCTCCACACTTACTTACCATCTGAGGCCCTGTACCAATCGAGCTGCTCAGTAACTTACCCGGCTCTGAAAAAGCACCTGGATTGGCTGTTGGGGGGCAGCAGGTGGGGCTGGCAAGAGACTGCACTAAGTCTTCAGATCAGATGGGGACCGCATTAAGGGAAGAATGGGCACAGAGCTGAGAGGAAGAGATGGGGGCATGGAGGCCTCATTTTAAGAAGATTGGGTTGGGGTGGTAGGAACTGGGGCGGCAAGAGTCGGGCGCAGTTTAGCAAAGATGAAGTGTTCTCAGGATGGCTGGGAAGTGAGGGGTTGAGTCGGTGTGGACAAGAAGATACATAGAAGACTTGGGATAGGGCTGAGATCAGAGCTATCAAGAAGGGGGTGAGCTCAGCAGGGCATCACCCAGGCATTGAATAAGGGTGGGTGGAGGTGGGGTGTTAGGGCTGAGCAGACCTTCGGGGACTGGGATAAGAAAGCTGAGTCGGAAAAGGGGAAAGCCATGGCGGTGGGGCTCAGAGGAGGTTGGCGTGGAGCACCGGGATTGCCACAGGGGTTGAGGGGTGAGGGTGTGACGCTTCAGAGGGCGGAGGAGGGATGTGTCTGCGCTCAGGGTTGGAACTGGACTAGCAGGGGGTCAAGAGTGTGGCTGCATTTACACAACACAGAGGTGAGGGGTGGGGGTACGTGCTGGGCTCGGGTCCCCGGGTCCCCGTCGGGAGAAGATGGAGGGGGCGGTCAGCAGGGGCTGTGCGGGCTGAAGGCTCGGCTCCGAGGGGGGTAGGGTGCGGGGCTTAGAACCGGGAAGGCAAGGGTTCTGAAGCGGGACAGCGCAAAGGCAACCAGGGGCGTGGGACCACGGAAGGCGCCCGCCGCCCGCTCGCATCTCGACCCCGCCGCCCCTCCCCCCCTCCCCCCTGACCCCGGACTCACCAGAGCGAGCGGGGAGGGGGCGGGGGTCGCTCCTGGCCGCTGCAGCCTCTGCGCCTCTGACCCGACGCTCCGGCCTCTCCGCCACCGACACCCGGAAACTGCGCTCGAGGCGCCTGACGCCATCCGGGCGGTTGGGCGCTCGGCCCCGCCCCCGGCCCGCGCAGCCAATGGCGGGGCGGGAGGAGCCGCGGGGCGGGGCCAACGGTCCTGAAGCCAGCGGGTGAGCGATCTGGGAGGCTGGGGACTCCACTAACGCGCGAGGGAGATCCGCCTGAAGAGGTGAGGCTCTTTTTTCTTTCTTTCTTTCTTTCTTTCTTTCTTTCTTTCTTTCTTTCTTTCTTTCTTTCTTTCTTTCTTTCTTTCTTTCTTTCTTTCTTTCTTCTTTCTTCTTCTTTCTTTCTTTCTTTCTTTCTTTCTTTCTTTTCTTTCTTTCTTCTTTCTTTTTTTTTCCCAGCTAGGAAGTTTTATTAGTGAGTTCCACAGAACTTTCAAGACAAGTTGTCTCAAATCATACAAATTCACCCATAGCCCAGAGAGGGAATATCCCCCAACTCATTCTGTGGTTAGTTTAAACTTTCCGTTGAAATAGGACCAAGAACAAAAGTACGAGAAAACTAACGTGCCCGTCATCCTCATGAACAGAGGGGCGATAATGCTGAACCAGGAATTCTCACAGCAAATCCAACAGTACATAGAAGAAGACAGTAGACCAGGGCTAAGTTCAGTTTGTCCCGCGAAAGCAAAGGTGATGGAACATCAGAAGTGTATAGATGGGGGCACCTGGGTGGCTCAGGGAACTAAGCAGCCGGCTCTGCTCTCACCTAAGGTCACGATGGGAGGCTCGCGACTCTGCTAACGGGCGAGGGAGATCCGCCTGAAGAGGTGAGGCCACTAAGCGAGGTCACCGACGTACGAGGAGCTTGGCCTAACGCCCGCCTCTAGCAGTGTCTGCTCAGACTAGATCCCGGCTTCTGGGTTCCTCATCTCGCCTGGCTCAGCGCCATCCGTGTAACGTTGGCCTCCTGAGGGGTAGGTTCCCACTCGTAAAAGCAGACCAGTGACGTCTACGCTATTTTTGCCTCCCTGAGGGCATGGGCGCTGGTGGTGCTTCCAGCCCGGGGGCTCTGAGGAAAAAAAGTGTACGTGTTTTGACCATATCTTATGCCAGCAGGGCGTCTTTAGCTCCCCGCTCCCTCCTCCTCGGGACTTTCTCCTGTACCTGCCCATCAGCCCCTGAGGCACGAAGCTCCAGGATCTGGTTATTCTCATCTAGCCAGGTACTTGTGTGTTTGCTTTCCTCGGTAGAGTTGACATTTCTTTTGCAGGTGGACTCCGAACAAAAGGTCCAAAGTGTGTGGGAGGGGGGATGTCTGCTTTGGTCACTTCTCACCTGCAGGCTTTGGTCCAGCGGGGAGCGTAGGGCCTGAGTGTGGGGACAGTGCCCGGCGGCAGAGGTACTACTAACTGCAGGTCCAGGGGGACTTTGGGAGTATTTATAGGGCTGGCCTGGGAACAGGGCAGCTCTTGGAAGCAAGCTCCACTGACCTGGGCCAGGGGTTCTGTGACCCGTAAAAAATGGCTGGTGGAGATGTGGCCCTGAGTGTGTGGGGGCTGCTTCTCTGGTAATAATCTCTCCGGGAGTGAGAACCACTTCTCGGTTTTAGACTAGATGAGGCTGAGAGCATTCAGTATGGTTAATAGTTGAGGAGGGGGAGCCGGATAAAGAAGAGGTGGTCTATGTATACAATGGAATATTCCTCAGCCATTAGAAACGACAAATACCCACCATTTGCTTCGACGTGGATGGAACTGGAGGGTATTATGCTGAGTGAAGTAAGTCAATCAGAGAAAGAAAGGGAGGTGGGCCGGGGGTGGGGGTGACTGGGTGATGGGCACTGAGGGGGGCACTTGATGGGAGGAGCACTGGGTGTTATTCTATATGTTGGCAAATTGAACTCCAATAAAAAAAATAAAAATAAAAATAAAAAATAAAATGAAATAAAATAAAAAATAGTTGAGGTGTGGGTAGCCCGGTTGGCTCAGCGGTTTATCGCCGCCTTCAGCCCAGGGCCAGATCCTGGATTCCCCGGGAATGAGTCCCCATCAGGCTCCCTGCATGGAGCTTGTTTCTCCCTCTGCCTGTGTCTCTGCCCCCCACCTCCCGTGTCTCTCATGAATAAATAAATAAAATACTTTAAAAAATAGTTGAGGAGGAAGTTAGAAATAAAGAGAGAGAGGCAAAGTATTTTCTGGGTGTTGAACAAAGTGGAAAGTAAGGGATTTACTAGGGAAATCGCATTTCCTAGGCAAAAGGATAGTGTTTCTGGTAATAATTAGCACACCAATACCATCAGTGTCTTGACTCAAGCATGCCCTCCCCCAAATGGAGCAAGCAAGCAATATTCCTCAGTTCTTCCAGTTTTAGTATGTGTGCTGCCAAAGTGAGCACTATTTCTCAGTTCTTCCAATGAATTTTTGCACAGCCACTGTCTGCAAAAGCTGTGGGAACCCCACATAGTAATCTTTTGTCTGGTTTTTCAGGAGCCTAGCCCTTGTCTCTTGGTCTTCTCTTACTTCTCAGGCCTCTCAGTCCCTCTGCTTGTCTTCCTCTCTTCATCTTGCTCTGGTGCACATTTTCACCATTCATGGGCCATGAGTCCACAAGGTAGTTTCCAGCCAGAAAAAAAAATTCACACTGGTATATCATTTGAACAGTAATAAAGTCACATGCAAAGAGAAGAGAGCTTGAAGGTTATCCTGGAAGAGGCAGCTTTTATCTGAGTCTTGCAGGTGGATAGAGGAAGGGGCATTGCAGGTGAAGAGACTGGCAGAGAAGTGGCTGGTGGGTAGGAGTGCAGGCTGAGCTCAGGGGAGGTCCCCAAGAGTGGAGAGGAAGTTGGACATAAGAACAGAGTAAGGGGATGGGGCCGGGATGGGAGGGGAGATAAAGACAGATTGGATGAGGGGGGAAAGGAAGGATGCAGATACAGCTGGAGGCCTGTGCAGGAAGGGCTCAAACACTAGCAAACTCAGCTCACAGGCCACTGGTCTGTCAGCTTAGATTTCAAGAACTCCACAGACTTATTTAAAAAGCCAGGTAGGAGAACTGCAGGTGTCTGAATTCCCTGCAGACAGGTCCAAGGTGTAGATTCCTGAACCCCATCCCTTCCCTGGAGAGTCACTCTGGGATGGGGTCCAAGAATTTAGGCCTGACCACCTCTGCTGTCCTCTGCCCTCAGCACCAGCGGATCCAAAGCATAAGAAAATGTAAGAACCTTTGTCTTATTTTAGGAGCTGAGGGGTAAGGGATTATTTGGCAAAAGAGAAGCTTCTATTGTTGTTTGGGACATTTGGGCAAAAGAGAAGCTTCTATTGTTTGCCAGATAGGAATTGTGATTGGTCCTTGTCAACCACTGGGAAGGTAGGTTGCCATTGTTATCTTCAATAGCACAGATAAGAAAACAGGCTTCAGAGAGAGGCTAAGTAACTTGGGGTCCCAGGGCCTCAGAACTAATAAATAAATGGTAGAGGGAGGACTCTCACCCAACTCTAATTCTAATTAGAGAGTTAGCATAGTTCAGTGGCAGAGCAAGTGGGCTTGGGAGGCGGTAATGCTTAGGTTTGAACACCAGCTCTACCCCATACTGTTTACTGGGCCTTCCCTACACTAGTGTGGGCGTTCAGGACAACCAAGCAATGTGAGGCTATGGTTTTCACAGGCCCCTTGAGATATAGCACTGAAGATTGGCAATTAGAAAACAGAAGTAAAGGCACAACACACTCTTAGCCTCTTAGCCTCAGGCAGAGGGGCCAGAGGGTGTGACTTCAGGTAAATTCCCAAAACTATCTGAGCCTCAGTTCCTCATCTGTAAATTGGGGAAAATATCAGTTGACCTGAGGATTAAGATAATATCCTTAGGAGAGTTTCTGGCCTGCTGGAAGTACTTGAACATGACTAGCTATAGGGCACCTGGGTGGCTCAGTTGGTTAAGCCTCTGCCTTGGGCTCATGTCATGATCCCAGGGTTCTGGGGTCCAGCCCACAACAGGCTCCCTACTGAGTGGGGAGTCTGGCCCCTCCCCCGTGCCCCCACCCTCGCTCATGCCCTCACTTGCTCTCTCAAATGGATAAATCTTTTTTTAAAAAAGATTTTGTTTGTTCATGAGAGACACACACACACACACACACACACACAGAGGCAGAGACACAGGTAGAGGGAGAAGCAGTCTCCATGCAGGGAGCCTGATTTGGGACTTGATCCCGGGACTCCAGGATCACACCCTGGGCTGAAGGCAGCGCTAAACCACTGAGCCAACTGGGCAGTCCTGGATGAATAAAATCTTAAAAAAAAAAAAGACTAGCTATATTATTAGTATAGTTTGGGCTAATTCTCACCTTCCCAATCCAGTCAGATCTGTTTTTAACTGCTTTCTGAACACTGGAGTGGGAGCTTTATTTATTTATTTATTTATTTATTTTTCCATTTTTTGAGAGCCTTTCTTATTTGAACCCCAGATATATCCTTACTTGGCAGCTGACTAAAGTCATCAAACAAGGACTAATGCAACCATTTCTCTCAAAACTGGAATAGCTAATGTTCCCCTGGATTCTGTTGTAGGAAGTCAGTTCTTCCCACTCTTTTAAAATATGGGGTTAAAGGGTTTTTAATTATTAATTTGTCAATTATACCTCAATAAAGCTGGACAAAAATAATGAATTTTTAAAACTCCCCAATAGTTATTATTATTATATATAGTTTACAGTTCAAATAGTATGACATCAAATGGTGAGGAAACATAATGACCCACGGCAGTTTCTTCCCCTTGACCATCCCCACCTTCCCTCCTGAGCCAGCTCACTGGGCCTGCTTACTTCTAGCTGAATCTTCTGATGCTTATCTCCCCACCTATCTTGGCAATTCTAGCTTTGGATTTATCCATTTTAGACACTGTCTGTGGACTTCCTATTATCACAGGCAAGGAGTTAGTTCTTTAACACCCCAGTCCGTTCTTGAGGTTTAGTTATGCCACTCTTTCCTGATAATTGATAGTGTTTACAGAATTGTGATTATGTAACTATTGTTCACCTCC